TTCCTGTCATGTTATGTGAGCTGGAATTCACACGACAGCAACAAGTGACCTTCACAAGAACAGACTGCTAGGTGTTCTCTCCCACTAGGAAGCTGCTGGCTCTGAGCCACCAGCCTGTGCGCTCAACCCCTGCACCACCAGGGCTCCTGGTAAGCAAAGAACCAAAGACCCCGAACACACTGCCATCAAGTCATTGCCAACTCAAGCCGCTGCTCCGTCGGGTTTCTGAGGCCGATTCTTTGCAGGACAGCGTCCATTTTGCCTCCTCTGCAGCTGCCGGTGGATTCTAAGTGTTGACCTTTCTGTTAGCAGTCCAGGATGTATTACACTACGCTACCAGGACTCCTTACGCAAAAGAAGGGCCACACAAGTGCAGGCCGCGAGATCACAAACAGTCCTTTGAGAAGAGCTAAGCCGGCCTCTGAACAACTCAAACGCACCAGTGACCTGCCAGGGTGACAAAACACGGTCATAACAGTCCACAGAGAAACAACCAGTTCCCACTGCGTGAGCCACTGGGCCCTCCCCTCACAGCATGACTCACTACCACAGGGGGCTGGGCGGTGTGCACAGGGCCCTGGGCTGTCCCTTTGCCTCTGTGACAGAAAACTGCAGAGCAAGGAAGGGTTAACAGTGTACAGCCAGCAGGTAGGTCACCTGGCAGGAGGTGGGGTTGAGACCAGGAGGGGACGCACAGTGGCCATGAGGTGACTGCTGGGAAGCCTCTCCTACAAGATGCATGTGGACCTGAGCTTTCCCATAGCCTGTGCCAGCCGTCCTTCCACGTGCAGATGTCCACTTCACACGGATTTCAGACTCCTCCACCCTGTTTCATTGAGTTTTCTTGGAAAAGTGGCAGAGAATTGTGAATTAAGTTGGTACATCCTGGCAGTCCTAACTGAAAGACAGCATGCTGGAAATAGCCCTACAACATGACCCATTCCGGCTGCTCCTGCAAGTGGTGTTACAGGTAAACGTCTCTAGGCTGCTACTGTCCAGACTATGTTATGCTGCCCACTGACCAGTCACAGCACTGCCCCCGTCCTGGCTTCTTCCACGCCAGCTTCTCCCAGCTGTGCCTCCTGGGGGTCTCTGGAAGCCACAGTGCAGTCCCAGCTCGAGCTGCCTGCAAGATGATGATGCTTCCTTGCACCTGTTCCCTGCGGGCAGGAAGACTGTCTAAAGCATTCAGCTCCACCAAAGGTTAGTGGTTCAAACCCACCAGCTGTTCCAAAGAGGAAAACGATGGCAATCTGCTTTCGTGAAGTCACAGCCTCGGAAAGTGGATTCCGCTCACCCCATGCAGCGCGCTGTCTGCTGTGTCTGCACTCACTCCCTATGGGCTGGGTGACGGTGCTACCCTGCGTCCATTCCCTGTGGGCAGGAATCCTCTGTGCACCTGCTCCCTGGGGCAGGGGTCCTGTCTGACCCCCGGTCCACCCATGCTGTCTGCATCAGGTGTGAGCAGGTGAATCACAGACAAATGTAACTCTCGTGTCACAGTCAGCCAGGTGCCATGTTGTCCCTGAGTTCCTACAGAACATAGAACCACCTAGATTGGAGGGCGGACCCTTGGTGGGAAGGAGTTTTTAATAGAACCACCTAGATTGGAGGGCGGACCCTTGGTGGGAAGGAGTTTTTAATCAATAGGGGCAGAGTGCTGGTCTCCCGCTGCAATGACAGGGCAGAGAATGTTAAATGCACCGCAGGGCACCGGACCTTCCCAGGGACCTGAGAGGATGTTCTGTTTGTGCCCAAAGTGCAGGTGAAACTGATGGCAGCGGTGCCCTCTGCTGAGCCCCCGGCAGCACAGCGCCCTGGAAAGCGCAGGCCGCATCTAAGCCTTCTTAACGCGCAAAACTTAAAAAAACCACCAAGATAGAAGACACTGCTCCCACCTCGGCTTCTCTGACTGTCTTTCATTTAATGCAAATTCTTGTATGTCCTACCAGGCATCTAACCATCTCGGGATTTTATTAAGTGCAAACACAAAATCAGCTTCAGCGCTATCTCAGCAGGTCAGCAGCAAGGGCTCTACCCATAAGATGCCAACACCCTGCAAAGACAGTCACAGGGACACACAGCATGACAGAAACTTCCCTCTGTTCCTTACTGACACCACAGAAATGACGGCAGCAATGGGCTGAGGCATGTCAGAGATGATGACGGCACCGGATGTGGTAAAGATCTGGTATTCACAGGGTCACTAGAAGTCGTTAGCAACTCAATGACACCTTGTTAATTGCCACCGAGTCACCTGCGAGCCATAGCGACCCTATGTACAGCAGCTCTGACCTTCCCTGTCCTGAGCCAGTCTCACTGATTCCGACATACCAACCCCCATCGCCCCAGTTACTGTGTCAAACCATCTCATGTGGTTCCTCTCCTGTGCTTTTCCTCCATCCTTCCAACTGTGATGTCCTTTTCCAAGGACCAGTCTCTCCTGCCCACATGTACAAAGTATGTGAGACGGAGCTTCAAAATCCTAGCCTCCAAGGCAAGACTTGATTTTGCCCTCTCCAAGACAGACCTATTTGTTTTCTTGGCAGTCCGTGGCAAGTTCAAGACTCTTCTCCAGCACCACAACTAGAAGGCATCAATTCTTCTTCTGTCATCGTTAGTCATTGTCCAGCTCTCTGACGCATAGCAAGTAACTGTGAAGACCATGGCTTGGATCAGGCACACCTTACTCTCTAGACTGTCATCGTTGTTTCTCAGTACTCTGGAGAGGTCACTGACAGCAGATTTTCCCAATGCAATTTGTCTTTTGATTTCCTGAGTGTTGGTGCCAAGAGTGTTAACAGTGGAGTTGAACAAGCTGTAACTGTTAACGACCTCAATCTCTTCTCCATCCATCATGGTGCTGTCAACTGGCCCTGTGATGAGACTCTTTGTCTTCTTGATGTTGAGCTTTAATCCATATTAAAGACTACAGTCCTAGACCTTCTGCAGCAAGTGCTTCAGGTCCTCCTCAGTTTCAGCAAGCAGGGTTGTATCAACTGCATCTAATAGGTTGTTGATATACACTGTAGACTCCCAAAGGAACAAATCAATCTATCTCTTGGGAGAAGTGCAGGTACAGTGTTCCCTCAGAAGCAGGGATGGTGGGGTCCCATTTCATTTACTTTGGGAGTATTATAAGTATGGGCCAGTCCTAGAAAAAGGCATCATGTGGAGTAGAGGAGAGGGTCAGAGGTGGAGTGGCCTGGTGGCTGCAGGAAGGGCTCCAGTGGAGCAGAGACTGTGCAGATGACGCAGGTCAGGGTGGGACTGGACTCCATCATTCACGGGGGACCAGGAGTTAACCCAACCTGATGGCACCTAACACTAACATCAAAATCATTATCACACACACTTTTCTTTTTCTTGTTGTGTACCACAGAGTGGGATCCGACTGGCACAGGAGGAGATTGCCCCTTCTTCTCCAGCAGAGTATCTGGTGGATTTGAACCACGTGTCTTTGGGGACTGCAGCACAGCTTCTTGCCACTAGGCCACCAAAGCTCCCTAATCTCGAATACTTTTGCCATGTGGTCAGGAAGGACCAATCCCTGGAGAAAGACATCTTGCTTGGAAAAGCAGAGGATGAGTGAAAAAGGTAGTGGCCCTCAGTGAAAGGGACCAACACAGTGAATGTACAATGACTTCAGTACTAGGAAGATAATAACATAGATTCATATCATGTGAAACAAAAAAGGATAGAACAGCAAGCAGAAATAGACAGCTCATCATTATAGCTGGATATTTTCACACCTCCCTCTCAAAAATCTACAAAAATTAGGAGGTAAAAGTCAATAAGGAGAAAGACCTAACACAATGGGCCAGGTAAGTATGATTAACACTCATAGAGCATCTCTGTACTCTCTCAAATGCTTAGTGCCCAACCAGAGCTATTTCTTGACTGAGATACATCATTCTGGGCCATCAATAAATGTAAAAGGATTCAAGTTCTGCAAAGCATGTACTCTGTCTATAAGGAACCCTGTTAGCATAATGTTGGGCTGCTAAACAAAAGGTTGATTGTTCAACTTAATCAGCCACTCCAAGTGACAAAAACAGGCAGTCTCCTCCCATAAACTGTACAGGTTTAGGAGCCTAATGGAGAGATGCTATGAGCTGCAATTATGTGGCAGCAGTGGGCTTGGTTTCAAGTTTTATGCTCAGTCTATATTAAAATCCAATCAGAAACAGGCATAGGAAATACCCACATACTAAATACTAACATGTTTTCATTTCATTCACAGGTAAGAGAAAATGTTGAAATTGGAAATTTTTTTAAAGGAAATAGAAAATCTTAGAATGTGAGGTATGTATGCTGATAAAACAGTACCTAGAGGGACATTCATAGCACTAAAATGTCTTTTAAAAAAAAATTCTCCAGTTAAGGACTTCAACTTCTGTCTTAACGAGCTGGAAAAGGGGGAAGATCTGGTGTCTCTCTATTCTGGCCTTGGCCAGTCCTACATTGACCCAGGTGGTGAATGTAACAAAGACTTTCGAGAGATAAGGAAGAAGTCTGAAGAGGTACAGGGGAAGAGATTGGGAAGAATAAGAAGGAAGTTATCAGTAGAAAAGAGAAACAGAGAATCCATCTAGGAGGTAGAACATGAAGAAAAGAGTGAAGGGGACAGAGACAGACTGAGGAGACCATATCCAGCGAGGGTATCTCACATGCCCTGGGATGAGAGGCACCCAGATGGAGCCAGGCATTAGGTGGTAGACTGTGGCTGACAGATCAGCATTTCGACCCCACCAGCCACCCCACGGGAGAAAGATGGGGCAGTCCATTCCATAAAGAGTTACAAGAACTCTAGAAACTCAACAGTCACCACATTCAGAAATGACTCAACAGAGTCGGTCTGGGATTTTAGAGGGATACAGTGGTCCAGGAGGACAGACATGGCAATAGGTGATAAGGTGATGATTTAGGGGAACACTTCTCACACACACAGATGGGCTCCCTGCTGTACCTTTTTTTATACTAACAGAAATTAATTTCACCTTTGTTGGAAAAGAGGTTGCGAAACGTGCCACACAGGTAGGAGAGTCCTCCACTGTGCAAATCCACGTGGAGCTGGAAGCCGTGCAGGCCAGACCCTGGGCCATCATCCAAGAACGGCTTGTGAGGAGGCATCTCATACGGTCTACAAAGCAAAACAAAACCAGTCATCACACCAGAGACAAGAGGCTACGAGCAGAGAGACTTGAAAACAACACCCAGTCAACGTGCCCTTCTAATCCACTAGGACAGGGTTCAGACCTGTTGTTCATGAAGTCGCTGTGGGTCGTACTCGACAGCACCAAACAACAACAACATCCTACCAACAAGACTACAGGACTCCCAACAACCTTCAGTACCAAGGGCTCAACACCTCTGCTCCGTGTTCCCAGGCTGGCTTCTGTGGGTTCTGCAGGAACAAGGGACCCTCTCCTGGGACAGGAGCATTCTGAGGTCAGTCCCAGGGCCACAGTTCTGCAGAGACAGCCTGCACCTTCCATGTCTGCTGGGCCTCAGGACAGAGCTGTGAAGCAAGAAAACCTTCCACACAGCAGACCTGATCACCACAGCCCAGGTGAAGACGTGGACTCACAAAGACCAAGCTTTCCTCAATTAAAAGCCTATTGTGTGAAGAAGCTGACTCTGGCTTTCTCAGGAGCCTCTTGGGAAATGGACATGAGAGAGAGGGAGAGAGGAACCCCACGGGTGAGCAGAGAGCAGGACAGGGCAGAGGAGAGACACCCACCTGAGACACACACTGAACAGACCAAACAAAAATACACTTGCTGGTCAGATTCAGCCAGCAGGCCAGAGTGTGTGCACTGCTAAGGAGAACGCCCACCTCCCCAGCGAGACAGGAGAGAGCACTGCAGGGCGACGACTGTGACAGCAGGGCTGGCACCTCCTGGAAAGGAAGCTCTCCTACACCTGACAGTAACCCTCCCAGATGCACACTGCACTAACTCAGATTCAACACAGCAAATCTGTGTTCACAAATGCTCCAATTAATTCGGCAACACCTAAGTCCCTATGCCTGCTGGCTGAGGTATCTCTGTCAATTCCTGGGGTATTTACACGGTGTCATCCTCTCACCCTTCCTGCCTATCACCGAAGCTGGACACATGCCGGTATAAAACTTCATACGTACACACTGGCTGAGCCTAGGGAGCTCCTCTCCATGAGCTGATGGAGATGAAGATTGGCCATAACAAAAGCCAACTCGTCCTCCCTCTGAAAGGCAAGTGAAGAAAACACAATTTTCAGTGGGAATATTTTCATCTTCCCAGGGTCTTTCTAAAGAAAGAGGGACGCAGCTTCTCACAGCTACAAGAATGTGATGCTGCTAATGTCTGATGGCGATTGAATGAGACACGTGTGCCATGCTGACGGGAAAGCTACCATCCAACCATCTACAAGGAGCACACAGCGCCCAGGGATCAACATCCGGGTACCTGCGGAACAGCGGAACGCTGCTTTGCCGTGCCATGTTTGGTGGCTGTCGGAATGTGCATCATCAGCACCGGGCTGTTCCAGATTCTTCCCAGAGATAAGAACAGTACAGGTAAGGAGTTCACAGACAGAGATTCATTCCACACCTGCTTGGCCAAAAGCCCAACCAATCTCAGCCACCCGGCTGGGCAGGGAAGCTCTTTCCAGAGGGTTTGTGAGGCTGTAAACCTTTATGGAAACTGATTGCCTCATCTTCCGCCCAGGGGGCAGCTGGTGGTTCAAGCCACTGGTCTTTCAGTCAGCAGCCGAGCATTCACTCACTGTCGCACCAGACACCCCAAAGATGTGCTGGCACCAGTGGTACAATGCCGCTTCCTGAGTAACTGCCTGACCTAGTCACCCCATCAGGAATCCTAGACTCAGCTTCTGTCCTTGACCAGCAAGATGAAAAAATGGGGACTGACATAGATTCCACCTAAATTCACTATTCACACGGCCAGATCAGACATAAATGAGACAGTGACCTAACGGTACTATTTTCTACCACGAGAGAGGGAGACAGGACAGGAAGAGTCTTCATCACTGTAGACGGGACACCACCCAGATCGGGAGACAGGGCACCCCAAGACGGGGAGATGGGACACCCCAAGATGGGGAGACAGGACAGTTACAGTCCTCCGGGACACCACCCAGAAAGACAGGACAGGAAGAGTCCTCATGACCGCAGACGGGACACCCTGAGGTAGCAGGTGATGTGACAGACAAGGTCCTGGTGACTGCAACCAGCTCAGCTCTATGGGCTCCCACCGTGCAAAGCAGGAGCAGCAGAGCGCCGCCGTCTGCAGTCCTCCTCACGCAGAGGGAAGGAGAGACAGCGGGCGGCCACGGCAGGCCGCGGGAGAGGACGATGGGGTTGGAGCTTCAGGGCGGAGTCTGTCTTGTCACCTCATGCAGACAATGGGTCTCAGCGTCACCTCTGTCAACTGTCATAAGCAGGCCCGGGTCTAAGCCAGCATGTGCCACACAGGAGGCACAGAGTGGTGCCAGTCCTCATGAGATGACAGTTCAGAGACCGCCCAGAGGAGGGTCATTGGAGAAGCCCCCACACCTCACTCAGGAGGGGATACTGCACTGGGTCAGAGCGTGTGAGGTTAGGACCAAGCTCCAGGTACTGAGGCCGGGGGCTCAGGACCATGGACCCAGGGACATCAGGGCCAGCTGGCCCAGCTTGGGTCCTAACAGCCTGGGAACGACCACTCAAAGTGCAGCCATCATTTTCTTCTTGACATGACCAAAGAAAGCACGCAAACAAAAAAGGATCAAGGGGCCCCATGGACCATGGTGTCAACTATCCTGAGACCAGAAGACCCAGACGGGCCCGCTCCCACTGCTGATTGCCAGAAACAGGTCCCATCAGTGTCCTGTGCACCCAGGAGGAAACCAGAAAACAAAACTCAAAATCCTGGAAAAGATGAGGCTCACAGGTCTGATGTGACTGGTGGGGCCAACTCTGTGGCCCTCAGTTACCCCTCAGAAGGACCTGAGTGGTTGTGAGTGACAGGAGGAAGCAAGAACCCATGAGAGTAAAGGGTGGAGGGAACCAAAGTGTCCAGCACAAAGTGTCCATTGGCTGTCACAGTGACAGGCTGGTACCTCACTGGCCTGAGGCTGTGAGCTGGAAAAACGAGGTTAAATACAGGGTGGGATGGGACTTGGCCAGTAGAAAAACCAGAGGACTGTAGTGGACAGCAAGCTTGACTCTGCAGATGAGGAGAGGGGTCCTGACCAGTGGGAAAGTCTCTTGGGACTGTGGTGGACAGCGAGGTGGCGCTGGGGACGAGACGAGGGGACCGTACCTTCCAGAGCCCCACCAGCAGCCCAGGGCTCAGGCAGAAGACATGGACCAGGCCGTCACAGCCCATGGCAACTGCCTCCCTCAGGTCGCCCAAGCTGTACTGGGCGATTAAAGAACGCCACCGTGGTCTGTTCATGGTCCTGCCAATAAGAGGAAAGAGGTGTGAGTGTGCGTGCGGGGCCGACCTCACCCGGTGCCCTGGAAGGCGTGCCGCGCGTGGGCCCTGGCGGAGGGGGACACGCCAGCAGGCACTTCTGAAGAGGCGGCAGGGTGGACAGGCTCAAGGCTCACCTGTCCTTGCCCCATCAATTTCACTTCCTACAGATGGTGCAGGTGGAGGAAGATGAAGAGCGAGGAGGGTGAAGAAAAGGCAAAGCCATCCCCTCGCCTCTTCCCCAAAGCCCAGCACAACGCTGCAGTCAAAGGAGGCTGTCCATCGCTGCCCTCATCAGGGGGGAAGCAGCTCCTAAGAGGCCCTCACACATCGTCCTCAGGCTGATTCTGCGTCACCACGACCCGGCAGAACAGAACAATTCTGCATGGTTCCTGAGGCTGTAAATCCTAACAAGAGCAGAGGGACTCTTGTTTCAGCTGGTGGATTCAAACCACTGACCTGGTTAGCAGAACAACACTTAACCCGTTACACCACCAGGGCTCCACAGCAGGCATAAGCAAAGATGAAATACTTGAAATGGCACAGAAGTAGGTAGGCTCAGTAGCTGCTCAGAAGCAGGTGTGTGGCTTGTAAAGCTGTTACCAAGGAGAACTCAGAGGCCAAAAGAACCAGGACGCCAGAAATGTAAACCATCTCATGAAGGAGACACACCGTGACCTTGATTTTGGTCTCACTGTCTAGGCAGGTGGGTGATGAGTTAGGGGCCCTCGGGTTCTGACTCACGGCGAGCCCTGGTCCAGCAGGTCAAAGCCCCGCCCGGGCCTGCACCATCCTCACACCCACTGCGGTGTGTAAGCTGCCCACTGCAGCTGGCGTCCGTCCAACTCAGAGGGTCCTCCTGTATCTGCCGGCCCTCTACTTTACCAAGCACGATGCACTTTGCCAGGGACAGGCCCCCTTACAGCACGCCCAGAGAGTGTGAAATAAAGCTCAGCACCTCGATTCTAAGGTGCACCCTGGCTGCACGTCTCAGATCTGGTTTTGGTACTCTTTTTGTTATTCCTGCCCCTCCAGACAGGCCTCCCTTGCTGAGAATGGGAAAACCCCTCTCTTTCCCTCCTGAACTAAGGCTTCCAAAGGCGTTTAAGAGACCCCAAAGGGAAGGTGCAACAGCTGCATTCACCTTGGCCTTCAAGGCTCCCGACATAACAACCAGGCTGATGTGCACCCAAATTCCTCATATTTTCGGAGGTGCTGAATGCAGAACTCTGGCAAAGGAGAACACTCAGTGAGTTGATTATAAAAGTATAAATTACAGGGCAATTCAAACTGCAAATTGCATAAATAAGGGTTTCTCTTTTTGGAGAAAAATTCTAACAGGAGAAACAAAAAGAAACACCCAAATAAGAACCACAGACGGCTCTGTCGCCACCCTCCTGCACACAGGCTTTGCCCTCCTGTCCCATGAAAGTGTTCACTTAATCGTGAGCCCACAAGGCCAGCCACCTTTCCCACAGTTCACCACCGTCTGCTGAGGCCTCCTGAGGCCCGCTGAGCCTGCCCATCGGTAAAACACATGATGACAATGTCCCAGCAAAGCCCAGCATTTGTCACTGAGTCATGCTGACACTGAAAACTCAGGTGACCTAGTGGTTGTCTGAGGACAACCTGGTCTGTGTCACCACCACATGGCATTCCAGAGCCTGACCAATGGGCTCAGAAACGGCAATGGTGGTGACGCTGCTGGACCAGCGGGCATCTCACTGCCGTAGACACGTGGTCACGCTGAGCCCCAGCGGGCATCTCACTGCCGTAGTCACGTATGGGTGAGCCAGCAGTGGCCACACCACCCATTAACAACATCCCCCGGCTTAAAAAGTTAACAGAGCCTTTAAGGTGACCAGGAACCAGGGCCACGTTTTTGCATCATAGCAGAAGAGAAGAGCACTGGCAGAAGGCAGGCCATCTCTAAATTATGATGGGGTTCCACCCAGCAACTCCACTCTAAGTTGCTTCTGGTATAAACTGAATGTCTCTTTTTTTCTCTGAAAGGTTTCATAGCATTGCCTTTAATTTCAGTATCTTTTATAAATTATAATATTGGATATGTGCAAGGGAATAAATGATGACTTCAGCAAGTTATGGACCACAGCACGTATTACCGAGGACAAGATGATAGAAACCATACAGCCCAACCTCCTGCCATCCAGGGCAGTGCCTGGGGACGGGAGGGTGGCACAGCCTACACCGTGAAGTGCGGCTTTCCCAGTACCAACACTGGCAGTGCCACCAGAGGCCAGCACCATCCCAAGCACAAACCCACTACCATCAGCTCAGCCCACAGGGCCCAGGAGCTGCTCCAGGGGTCTCCTGAGGCAAAGCGTCACCACGGAAGCCAACGGACCTGAGTTCTGAGCCAAGACATCTCACAGAGGCAAACGGTCACATCTCACTCCTGAGAGGCAGGTGATGTGTTTACATGTTCAGCTCTTGAGTAGGCCACCCTGCAGTAACTACCGTGTCGCCGGCAGGAGTCCAAGCTGGAGAGCTGCAGAAATGAGTGTGTGTGGGTGTGTGTGTGGCCAGGGAACCCGTAAGAGGACATGGCCCCACGAGAAGACAGAGAGATATGTCAACCCTCCCAAGGGCACGTGTGGGTAGGACCAATGCGGACAGTGGGGACTGGTCACACCACAGGGGAAGCCCAGCACGGAGAAGCTGGCTCAGACCTGATTTTCAAGGCGAGACTCCTTTTTTCTCTACTGATGCTGGTCCTGACAGTGAAGTCAGGGATGGGCACCAACTCAAAGCCACTGGGAGTATTTCTGGAAACCCTGGTGGCACAGTGTCAGGGCGCCTGGCTACTAACTGAAGTCAGTGGTTTGAACCCACTCGGTCCGTGGAACACAGAGGCAGCAACTGGCTTCTGTGAAGGTTACAGCCTTGAGAACTCCTGTCCTTCGGGGCCACACCAGTCAGAATCAACTCGACAGCTTGGAGTTTATTGCTCCATTCCCAACTTTCTTTCCTTTTCACCAACAATCTTTACTGCGGTCTGAGAAGCTGTAATTCTGGAGCGCAGAGGCTTGCCACACACGGATCTTTGAGGGACTTTTCCCCTGGTCTTGTAGGGTTGTGTATGTAACTCTTTATCATGTCATCTTCAACAGTCCCTCTTTCCCCTGCCCCAGGCCTCCTTTTCTTTTCGTTTTCTGTCTGGCCTTGTCCTCTACCTGACATGCCCATGTGTTGCTTTGTTGGGTCTCTTAGTCCCAGCGCAGAATTCGAAACCCTCCCGCTGTACGCAGCGAAGACTCGCTCATCCGGCACTGGGCTGAGCTGGCACTTACCCATTTCTCGAGGGGAGTTTATTCTGGTCCATAAACACTGGGGTCACACCACACAGGTCTAAGGTCGACAGGGTGGTGAGAGGCGGCCAGTTTCTGCAATACCACGTGATGGTGATGGACGTGTCATTTACGGCAAGGTCAGCACGCTCTGTGATGTACTCTTTCCCGCTTTTGTCTCTCAGTATAATTACCCAGCCTAGACCAGACACTCTGGGGCAGGAGGGGAAATGAGAGGAAAGGGAGAAGAAAACTGCTGTAGGGATGCCTCATGACACCACTACACCATGAGTTCCCCAGAAGTCAAAACCAGCATCCTTGGACGCACCACCACGGCCTGCTTGTTTTGCCCACGACTCTCCTTCTGGACTTCCTCCCTACACCTGTCTAACGCTCGCTGGTCATCTCCTCTGCTCCTGGGGCAGGGGCCATGTGAGGGCTCAAACTCTGCTGGACCAGGTTCCAGGCGCATCTCAGTCTTCCCTAAAAACTTCACCCACACGTACAGAACAGAAAGATACCACGCAGCGTCGCTGTTAGGTACGCCGGAGTCACGTGTAACTCGGAGCGACAGGTCTGAACCTGTCCTACCCGGCGCCATCCTTATCATCTCACACACTCAAGCCCACCGCTGTAGTCACTGCCTCCGTCCATCTGGCTGTGGGTCTTTCCTCTGCTGACCCTGCACCATTACAAGCTTGATGTCCCTCTCCAAGGAACAGCCTCTCCTAGCAACACGCCCAAAGCATGTGAGATGACACTTTGCCATCTTCACCTCCAACGAGCACTCTGGCTGCACTTTTCCCAAGACGTATCTGTCTGTCCTTCTGGCAGTCCGTTGGAGATCCGCTACTCTAACACCACAGCTCAAAAGCATCAAGTCTTCATCCGCCATCCTGATTCACTGTCCAGCTCTCAGATATACCATTGCCTGAATCAGGCACACCTAGTCCCCAAACTCACATCCTCAAACAAGCATCACGCTCTTCATAAATTTGAAGAGGGCTCTGACTGCAGCCTTTGCTAGTGCAATATGTCTCCTGATCTCCTGACTGACGGTACCAAGGGTGCTGACTGCGGATCCAAGTAAGATAAAGTCCTATTATATAACATAGAAACACAAAAACACACAAAAAATATGGGAGACCATCCCCACCATCCAAGGGCCTGCTTCCTCCTTCCCCACACTTCCAGCACCCAGCTCTTTCTATACGTGTGACCGCAGGCAGGCGCCCTGGCCGTCCACAGGCACCTTCACTCTAACACAAGGGCTGCACCCCCATCAGTCACTCCATGGGAGAAAGGTGAGCAGTCTCCTCCCAAGCCATTTACAGCCTCCAAAAACCCACTAGAAGGTCAGCTATGAGTCAGAACCGACTCCATGGAATCAAGCGATGACCTGAAGCAGGAGCGCTGGTGACAGCGGAGTGGCTGACCAAGAGGCGTGACAGTGTGCGTCCGTGAGGATGCAGCCTCAGAAGCCCTGGAACAGTTGTCCTCTGCCCTAGGGCCACCCGGAGTTGGACACAGCTTGGGCAGTGTTGCCCAGCACTGTCACAGGGTGGTCCCCATCCCGGGAAGTTGCAGTTCACCTGAGGACACGACCCACCTGAGTGCCTCCTTGATCTTGACCGGGAGGCCAGTGTATGGGTTCGCAGGCTGCAGGAGCTGGGCCACCGTGGCCTTCATGGATGCCACCTGCTTGGCTATGTACTTCTTCTTCCAATGTCCAGCTTCTCTGTCCTCTGGGCCCAGGGGGATCTTGCAGGCAACAGTCTCCTTGGCGGAGTTAACCTTCCAATGAGAGGGCTTGGCAGAAAAGGCAGTGGAGTAGATCCTGACCCAAATCAGACTGGGGAGGGAAGGGAGAGAGAGCGAACCGTGGCGACCTTGACTCGATCCACAGGACTGTTACCAGCTATGGTGAGGACTGCGCTGGCCAAGCAGGGCTACCTTCTGTGGCAGGCAGGCTGGGCCGCCCCTGACTACAAGAGCATCATTCAATCCGAGAAGCTCAACAACCACCAAGCTGTTCTCTCTAGGGCAAGTCCTGTGGACAATTACAGTCGTTCAGGGGAACCAGTCTGAGGGCCTGTGCCTTAGATTCGCTAGGACATATGCTAAAGAAAGAAAGGAAACTCTCTTCCTAGGATCTGGTTTAAAGTAAGAGAGGCCATGTACTTCAGGATCACCTGAAGCAGTGCTTGCCTCCATTCGCCTGTGGACAGCGAGCCTTGACAAAAAACAACAGAGTGCATGTCATGTGAGTTCTGTCTGACTTCCTCTGCTTGTATGCGTGCCTTTAAAAGACCAGGGAGACGCACATCTACAGACACCGAGGAGACACCACCCGGGGGCTGCTTGCTCTCATTTTCTCAGCGACCGTGCACTGCTTTCCCAGAGGAAAGAATGAAGGCATTCTTGATACCAACCACGGGGCAGTGGAGGAGCCCTGGACGTGTGCTGGACTGTGCTGGGCTAACAGAGAGACCCGCGGTGGCATCCACCGGGCTCGCTGAGGGTCAGAGATGGAGCCGTCACCTGCCTCTGTAACAGGCGACAGACCTGGAGCCCGCGGGAAGTTCTACTTTCTCCTTTAGACTCTCTGGGAGTCGGAAGCAACCTGACAGCAGGAGGAGGTTTTGGTTTCTACCCAAAGTTAACCATCAACAATTCCACAGTCAACACTCATGGAAGTAACAAAAAGAAATGAAAGGTCGTAATCTTTCAAACAAAAGGCCAATCTTCTGTCAGGAACTCTTGAAAGCACTAAAGAGTAAGGATGTCACCTTAAAGACCGAAGTGTGCCTGACTCAAGCCATGGTGTTTTTAAAGGCACGTGAAGGTTGGACGAGCAGTAAGGAAAATCAAAGAATAGATGCCTCTGAAGTGTGACGTTGGCAGAGTGTTAAATACCTGTGGACTCTCAACCAGAGTGCTCCCTAGAGGCAAGGATGGTGAAACTTCCACATACTGGAGGCAGGATGTCAGGAAGGACCAGACCCTGGGGAAAGGACACCATGCTGGGAAGGTGGACGGTCAGTGAAAGAGAGGGCGATCCTGAAGGAGGTGGACTGGCACAGTGACCCTGACAGCGGGCTTGACACAGGGAGGCCAATGTCAATGCTGCAGCACAGAGCAAGGGGCAGCTCTGCTGTACATGGTCACTGTGAATCAGTCCACTTGATAGTACCTGACAACAACGTCCACCTCAGTGGCCCCCGTGCTGCCTCCAAACCCTCACAGCAGCACTGCACAGACCACTGCTAATCCTTCTCTGCATGCCGTCACCCTCACTGCAGGGAGGACGCAGTCCACACCACACACTGTCGAGGGCAACACCACAACATGGTCAGGACAGCCCCGCAGGGCTGTGTGTCACCTGCCCCCGCACGTCACCTTCCTGAGTGCACTCTGCCTCCCCAGCAAGCACCCCTCCCCTCCCCAGGCTTCACGCCACGGACTTTCCTATCACACGGGCTCTGCTTCACCGAGCTGCACAGATGCTCCATTGGGGGGGGGGGTGTCTTCTGGGGGGTTTCCAACAAGCTGAAGGTTTGTGGCAGCCCCATTAGGGCTGGTCTGTCGGTGCTGTTTCAAACTCTTTCATCCTATGATCATCCTACTCTCATCCTGATTATACACACAGTAAAGCACTGCGTGGTGCCGATGTGATTTTGATATGCACTGTGAGACCAACAGACACTCTTCCCGTGTCCTCTACACACTCAGAAACCCACCGGCCGGCGGGTCAGCTACGGGCACATCTGGTTTCCCACTGGCCCAGACCTCCCCTCATCAGAGCACTGGATGAAGACACACACGCTCCGTCCTCTCACGCCACGTAAGCCAGAAACTACTCACAGACGGTGCCCTGGCACGTTCGGGGCTGGTGGGGACGTCCAGGCCCGCTTTCACGTCCTGTGTGGAATTCTGTGAGACACAGCAGAGTCCCGCCCCCCTTACTTGTCACTGGCCAGCTGATAAAAGCGCCTGTTCACACATCCAATGCTCAACAGGTTCACGGCGTCCAGGTAGGAGAGGATCTTCAGCAGGATTTCTGTGGGCATGCTGGAAGAACAGGGAAATGATGAGGGGAGAGAGGGGGAGCTGGCCTCTCCTCCCCACGGAGCCCTTCCCTGCTTCCTCATGGAGACACTCACTACACCTTCTCCTCAAGTCACTGGGAAAGGCCCCGCAGCAGAGCGAGTACCACCCCACAACCACACTCGCTCTAGGAAACCCACAGGACTTCACTGCTGCCCTTGGCAAAGTGTGCACCATCATTAGTAAACTCAATGGGGAAAATAAAACACAGGGTGCCTTCCTAGCTGTTAGGAAGGAAAACAGAATCCAATCCCCTTCCAAAAATCCTAAAACCCATCAGCGATTGGGAACACCAAGTTATTTCCTACCTCTCTTACCCCTCCTTCCAGCGGTCCTCCCCACCTCCTCCCCGCCTCAGCCGTCCTCCATGTGCCCCCACTTTGCAGGCTTCCCCTGGGGCTTCCCAGAGTTCCAAAGCCCCACAAGGTTTCCTGACATGGTTTTTTCCATTTTATCTTCATGCCTAAATAAATACAACATTAAGATGAATTCTCAATATCCTGTCTTCATCTATGACCTTAGAACTCTACAGAGCAGCCCCAGGTCTACAGGTTCTGGGAAAGCAGGGCCAGAGCCAGGAGGCCAGGGGCAAGTGTTCATGAACCTGAACCAGGGGGTCGAGAGGGAGCCGTGGGGGTGAGTGTTCACAGGCCTGAACCAGGGGGTCGAGAGGGAGCCGTGGACGATGCCATCCAGGCTTGGGGCCCCAGGAAAAGACTGTGATACATTTCAATGTCTTGTCCATGCTCTCAACGTGTAATTTTTTTACTTAATTGTGATGGCTGTGACAATGGGAGGACAGGCTGGCAGCACAGGGCAACGTTCAGACCCACTGTTCACAGGCTGGTTATGAGGCACAGTCCGCTCAACAGCACCTACTTACAAGAACAGCAATTTGAAATCATGACAATCAGGCTATCACACTTGTCACAGGAAAATAACCAGCTCTAAAATTCTGATTACACTAAAAAAGAAGAGATTCTCTGAGTAAGAGTGGCTCATGCGAGTGCTATCTGCCGGGGCCAGCACCTCAGGGTGGATGCTATTAGGCGGGTCCAGTCACTCCGCACTCATGGTAACCTCCCATCCAGCAGCAGGATTCCCAGTCCAGTCCTGTGCCTTCTTCACAGTCAGGGTTGAAGCACCTTATCAAGCAAAGTCCTTCCCCCAGAACTGGTAACATGCTCAGAGCATGTGAGGCCAAGCCACCCCCCCCCTGCTTCAGAGGGGCACCCGAGCTGTGCTTATTTCAAGACAGATGCATTCACCCTTCTATTGCCCAGAGCACAGTCAATACAGTTCAACATGACCCACATGTAATGACTCTTTCTTAATCATTTGAAAACCACCACAAACTGAGTGAACTCAAACTCGCCACGTTGGCCCCGAGGCCTGAAGGCCTGGCCCTGCCTCTCCATCCACCACGCCTCACCTCTGAGCAGGCCACCTTCTGTTCCTGCAGCTCCTCACATGCCCCTTCCTCCCTCTGCCCCTCTGTGCACTGGATCGCCCCTTCCTGGAAGGTCCTCCCCACAGTCTTTCATCTTCACCTTCAGTTCTCGTTAGTGACACCTCCTCCTCAGCAAAGCCCTTTCCTACATCTGAAGCATGGGACCCTCGGTTCCACTTCCCACTTTGTAATTAGGAGGTTTTCTTTCTAAGCCTACATCCCTCCTTCAACCAAAAGCCTCAAGAGAACACGGACCACACACGAGTGCCCTTAGACCAAGACTGGTCGTGGCACTCGCAGGCCCCCAAACATCTGATGAATGAGTTAGCTGGATGAAGAATAGTCCTCTGTGCCTCCTATCAGGTCACTGCGGACAGATTGTGTCCCAAGAGTACTGTATTTCAAGTTTAGATTGATGGTCTTAATTAAACCTCTCTTTTCTAGGCTTCTAAGTTCTTTTCAAAACACATTACAAGTATGTATGCTGTTGTATGACATGGAATTAAAAGCCCCAAACATGAAACTGTACGGCCTGCAGTGCAGACAAGCGCACCTCAGAGCCATATGTTACATTCCAGACCAGCTCAAGAAAGACGGCTTTGCAACAAAGGGGGTTATGCAGAGGTTTTGGTTCCTAGAGCATTAACTTTGACTCTCTTGAGCTGGAACCAAGTCGTAGCTGAACCTCCAGTGGTTTCTCAGAAAACCTTTCATGAGAAAAGAGCGGCCACCATCCTCCCACACAACAAGCAGGTAGAGTCCTCCGACTAGACCATCGGGAGGGAGCCGCACTGCTAACACCAAGGTGAGCAGATAGATTGGACCAGCTGCTCCAAGGCAGATGGGAAGTTTCCTCCATCAATCTGGAGCCTCGAAAACCTGCTGGAAGGTCAACTATGGCGTGGGTCCGACAGAGAGAGAGAGACAGAGACAGACAGAGAGACAGAGAGATACAGAGAGAGCAAGAGCATGCAAAGATTACATTTACGGCACACTATTAAGTGTGCGTTGTGAAGAAGTTGGGATACAAGCTTCCCACATTTATAAAATGAAAACAGTGCAGTGGCTGCAAAGCAGAGTGATGCAAGGAACGATGAAGGAGCCCCAGCTGGGGACTGGGGCGCGCGGCGTTCCCCTCTGCAAAAGATCCAGCCACAATCACCAACTCACAGGACCTCACACGAGGCTGGCACACAGCAGCTGGGGCTTCATAAACATTACCCACAACCTCTGAGTCAACCCCTCCTCCCAGCAACCCCACAGAGCGCAGCTGAACTGCACCACAGCTTCGCAAGGCTGTGGGTTCACGGGCACTGAGGACTCTGCCTCTCACAGAGAGGTGGTTCCACCTGCCAGCCTCCAGATTAGCAGCTGAGTGCTTCAGTACTGCACTACTGGGGCCCCTTAGATGCCCCTACACTGCAGACCATTTCAATCATTAAAAACAAAGCACAGGTTCCACTGGTTTGGCACCAAGGGTCCTAGTGCAGACTCTCACTGCAGTAAACGGGCTCCTCAAACATCGAGCTAAGAAATTCGGAGAGTCCTTGAGCGCTAATATCTCCCCTTCTCAGGAGTCCTTACCGACTGGGAAGAGAAGATGTTTGGGGAAAGCGTTAATAAAGGGAAACTCAAATTCAGTTGTCAGTTTGGGGAGTTTCATTCCAGAGAACTAGTTTGAAAATGACGGTGGTGACAGGAGATGACTCACATCAAATCCTCCTGTCATTTGCTCTTCCTACACTAGTCTATTCCGAGAACTCCCAGAATAGCACCCCAGACACACAGCACCCTAACTCCCCCCTTGGAGACCACCTTCCCAGAGCCCCAGGTGAGGCCAGCCATGAGCACTCACTTGTCCAAGGACACAGCTCTCCAACAGCACTCCCGACGCCTGGCCCCGGGTGGCAGCAGGTCCTTGGTGGGCCTGGAACCCGAACCCCTTCTGAAAACAAACAGACAGACTCCAATGCTGTCATTCCTAAGTGACAATGATCTGTCTGTTCCCCCCTGAAGAATGTTTAGAGGTCCATAAACATCTGAGATCACACATCGTAAAACTTCACTTCTGTGTAAGAAAAAGGGGGGAAATGAGAGGGGGAGGGACAAAAGGAAGTGAAGAGGAAAAGAAAGGGGAAGGAAGGAAATTTAAAAAAGGAAGAAGAGGGGTTGGAAGGAGGAGGAACTGAAGAAAGGGAGGGAAGAGGGAATGGGAGTAGAAAGGAGAAGGAAGAGAGGAAAGCAGAGTAAGAAAGGGGCAGGAAGAAAACAGCAGAGCTGGAAAAAGAGGGAGAGATGAAGAGTGGCAGGAAGGAGGCAGGAGAGAAAGCGAACGAAGGAAGAGACTGGAAGGAGGACGTCATGAAATCTGTAGAGCAAGAGCTGGCACTGACTGCAGTGATGGGCTTGGATTGCTCTGGGGTTCACCCTGGAAGGGTCCTCTTGAAGAGATCCACTTCCTCGGAGGACAGGCACCTCAGTCGTTACAGTTGCCCCCCAACCCGGATGAGCAATGGAGAGAGGATGTATCACTTGGCCTAGTTCAATAACACAACAGGAATCTGGCTCAGACGGATCCTTTTGCATCGTTATTGTAACTCAAGTGTGTGATCCACGGCAATTCTGGCAGTCAGGACTGCCAGTCTTCAGGGAACTGATCAGCTCAACTCCCAATCCCACCTACCCATCACAGCCTTGGTAACCTCAAGGCGCAGCCCTGTCCGACAGGGTCCCTATGAGCTGGAATTCACGCCACAGCAGCAGGTCATATTACTGACCATTCGGATTATATGACATTTTTTCCCAAAGCCATGTGACTTTTACATGCCAGGACTCCATGGGACTGCCTGGTTTATCTAGCAAACCTGTGGTCTACAGATCAGAATGGTCCTGTAGCTGTGAGACAAGCAAAAACATAGTAACCTCCAGGAATGAGGATTGAGGAGGGAAACACAGAAAGGTAAAGTGAGTATAGGACAAAAGATTTAAGATCCAGGAGTCTGAGATGTTACATAACCTACATTTTCAAAGAAAAAAGATCTTGTTCCATGCTCTGCAGCACGCTATACTGTAAAAATTTGGGAGACAAGCGAATGAGAAAACAAAATGGGAAATGACCTTCTCCATTTTACACAAGGAGTGCTGGTCACCCCTCCACAGATAAAGAGTCTCTGCTGAGGGACCACTGCAGTTCTGCAGGACTTGTGCCTCCTGGGTCACTTCACTTCTTGAGCAAACAGGCCACTGCCCTGAGCTGTGCTGGGCTGCAGCCCTCTCCCACTTCGTCCCTGGGGTCTTTCACTGTCAACTTCAACAGAGTCATAGCTAATTCTCCAGTGGACTTTTGCAGACTATAAATCACGAGGGATGTGACTTCCCTTCTTTCTCCCCCTGAACGGCTGGTGAAGTTGAACCTCTAGAGAAGTGCGTCCCTTGGGGACTGTTGGTGACTTGCAACCAGAGCCCCCACTCCTCAACCAGCACAGGGGTCAGCAGGGGGCCTTTCCTGGCTAGAACAGCTCAAGCCTCTCGGGGAAGATAGCGCACAGCAGGCCTGGGGCGGGAGTTCATCTTGCGATCAACAACATGAACTTGGACTTAAGATCCAAGCTTAACGGTGCTGCGATCCTGGGGACCAGACCTGGTCACAAGAACCTACGGGGTCCCTCGTCTGATGTCAACGGGAAGATTCCACTCCTCGAGTTGCAAACTCCGAAACCGAGGAGCTTCGGACTCCGCAAGCGCGAACACTAGATCTGAGCTGCGTGACGCAGGCGCACGTGGTGCGGGGACTGGAGGGGACCCCGTGCGCTCCAGGCGCACGAGCTCCCGAGGAGGGAACAGCAGCGCAGTCCCACAAGGCTGGTGACTGTGAGTACAGGAGACATCGGGGCACCCTGGCGAGCTGCGTCATGACGGGGTACCCCAAGTTGCCCACATGGGGAACTTCCTCGCCTTAAAGCGTCACGGGGACCCTATGGATAAGGCGCGAGAACCCCAGGCGCCCACCCGCCGCAGCCCGACCGTCACCTGAGCCCCACGGCGCCCACAGGTGGCCTAGGACAGGGGCCACGCGTGAGCTGCCACGGGCGCCAGCCGCGTCCGGTCGCCATGGAGACCGCACTGCCCGCGCGCCTGCGCAGAGCCGAAGTCCCCGCGGCTCCGGAGCCGCCGCGAGGCTGCCTCCGGTCGCCTAGGAGACCACGCTGCGTATGCAGCCTGAGAAGGAGGGGGCGGTGCAATCTCAACTGCGTCTGGTCGTCATGGAGACCACGTCCCGAAATGCACCCCGCGGGGCATTCTAGAAACTTCCTGGCTGGCTTCTCTCGCATGCCTTCGAGAGGCCCTGAAGCCCCGGGGCCCCTGACAGCGTGGCGCGACGCCGTGCACATCCCACTGAGAGTACACGGAGTGCACATCAGGCAGCAGCGCGCTGGAAAGCTGTGCAGGTGGGGACTTGGTGACCCTCCGCTAATCCCTAGACTGGCACTCGAAATCGCTAACTTAATTGTTAAGACTCGAGAGTTGCTTAGAGCACACGACACGCCGTAAAACCCTCGCAGCGGCGGCACACGACACGCCGTAAACCCACGCAGCCAAACTGCCGCTTCCAGTGCGCAAGCCCAGTGGCCCGCGTGGGAGGCCCGGCAGCGCCGGAAGAGCAGCCGCCGTGCATTGTGGGAGATGTAGTCTTTTGTGCGTCCCGCAGTGGCCACTGGACGGAAAGCTCGAGGCCTGGAACTACTGTCCCCAGAATGCCACACGTCTCCCAGGCGTTTAAGCGCAGGCATGGCGAGTAGAGCGGGGATGTCAGAGTAGAAGGAAGCCGGAGTAGAGTGCTCTGCTCAAGCACAAAGAGGGCCAGAGGGCGGGAAGGGTCTCTGGCTTCGCTGGGAGTTTGCTCCTGGGGAATCTGCCTGCGTGGGCGCCCCGGTGGTGCTTGGCCCGGCCGCTCGGCGCGTTGTCCTTAGCCGCGACCCAAGGGCAGCCTCTCCCGTGACCATGGTGGGTGCCCTGCTGCGGGCGGTGCTGCGCCCGGAGAAGCTGCACAGGGTCGCAGGGGCACGGATCGTGGGGCCCTTGGTGCTTCACAAGGCTGGCTTGATGCTGGAGCCCTGCTGGAGACGGGGGCTGCCGCGGCAGAGGAGCCCCGTGCCCGGAGGCGTCTTTGGGGTCACCCCCAGAACCATCTGGACGCAGGGCCGGGGTCCCCACAACGCCAAGGAAGAGAGCGGGAAGCAAGTGTCTGTGCACGGTAGCCCGAGAGGGGAGCCTGCAGTGTCCACGTCGCAGAAAGGTAAAGGAGCCCAGCATCCATCCGCAAGCATAGCAGAAGCCATCAGCACCTGTTAACACAGTTTGCTGCCTGAAGTGTGAGATTCACGAGAACTGACCGCTCAGCACAAGCTAGACTCACACGGTGTTCTTGGCAAATTGAACCCAGATGGGCCTTGAAGTGCATAATTTCTTTGTGTTACGGTAGGCTATTATCCCAACTTGTGTGTGTATTAGTTTCAGTGCGACAAAAACTGCGTAAAGTGTAACAGTTGTTTCATGCCATGTAGTTGATATGGAGATTTTCTTAATGTTACTTTATCGCATTTGGGTCTTTTTCCATGGGTATCCGTCCTGTATATCTCACTTCCCCAGAATGAAACAACTGCAAATCAAGCGTGGATTTCGGTCTGTTTTCCAAGTGCGCAGCTCACACAGAGACATCTTGTGTGCCTCTTTGTTCCTCGTGTCAAGGGGATGATTTCCCAAAGAGGTCCAGAGGCCTCTTCGAGTAAGAACTAGAAAGTTCTGACTCGGAAATACAAGAAAGACACCAATTTCAAATGAGAGCAAGAGAAAAACAGGTTTATTAGACGTTCATAACAGACTATGAACAGGTCAGGACATACTGATCAGTCTTCATCTTACAAAAGGGTTTATATATCCTTTGGAGAGTGGGGTTTAAACAGCTGATTAGTGCACTCCTTCTCATGGATGTATGGTGACTTTTGACCACCTCCTTTGTTTCCTTTATCTTTTCCTTGAGGCTGTTCTTTTGCCACATTGCTTTAGAGTCTGTTTTATTGTCATATAGCAAGCCTTCCTTGAGTGTTGGTTTCTATTGTTATATTGCTACAGTCTTTGTCAAAACCAGTTCTGATTGATCTCCTTTGTCAGCGAGTCCTTTGCCATTCCCTGTCATCCACACAGGCACTAGTGCCAGTGGTGTGTCAATCCTGCACACACTTCATGTCATCGGGGAAAACCCGCCAGACACAACATGAATCAAAGAATGAAGGGTATTTTGTTGTTGAGAAACATCAAATTGATCCCCGCTCTGATACCTTGTCGATCTGCCCCATAAGGTTTCCCAGGCCACAGTGGTGGAGTCTATATTTCCTTAGACTGTTAACCAAAAGGATAAATTTGAGCAATTCAAAACTCCCAGCAATTCAGAGGGAAAAGATGGGTAGTCTCCTCCAGTTAAGATTTGTTGTTGTTGTCGTCGTCGTTGTTATGTGCCGTCGAGTTGGTTGTGACTCATAGCGACCCTATGTACAACAACCCTAAACCCTGCTCTATCCTGTGCCGGTTGCACTGCCTCTGACACTCCGATCCCGATTACCCCAGTCACTGAATCAATCCACCTCATAGAGGGTCTTCCACTCCTGCACTGTCCTTCCACCCTCCCAAGCATGATGTCCTTCTCCAAGGACCTGTCCCTCCTTACAACATGTCCAAAGTATGTCAGATGAAGCCCCAGAATCCTTGCCTCCAAGGAGCAGCCTGGTTTAACCCTCTCCGGGATGAATCTGTTTGTTTTCCTAGCAGTCCATGCTACATTCAATGCTCTTCTCCAGCACCACAGCTCAAAGACATCAGTTCTCCTTCTCCCTAGTCATTGTCCAGCTCTCTGATGTATAACAAGTGTTTGCAATGACCATAGCTTGTTATCAGACGCACCTTAGTCTCCAGAGTGACACTATTGCTTTTCAGTACCCTGGAGAGGTCCCTAACAGCAGACTTTCCCATGGCAGTATGTTTTTTTTTTATTTCCTGGCTACTGTTGCCAAGAGTGTTGACCATGGAGCCAAGCTGACTCAAGTTGTTAACAATCTCAATCTCTTCACTATCCATCCTGATGCTGCCAATTGGGCCAGATTTACATCCTTGAAAACTTGATTATGTTGCTTTGTGTCATTGAGTACTGCTCATAATTACCCTGTGAAGAACAGAGTGGGCCGTGTTCTGGGCTGTGCCACCCTCACCATCTCTGACACAGACACGTTGCTGCAGTCACTGTGTTACTCCATCTCAATGAGGGTTTTCTCCATCTCTTTGTCATCCTTGCCTCCAGAGAGCACTCTGGCCATACTTTCTCCACTAAATACCTGTTTGTTCTTTTCTCCAACACCACAACTCAAAGGCATCAATTCTTCTGTCATCCTTATTCATTGTCCAGGTCTCAGGTGCATAGCAAACGACTGGAAAGATCATGGCCTGAACCAGGTGCATCTCAGTCTTTAAACTAACATCATTGTTCCTTAGGACGTTAGAGAGATTCCTGACAGCAGACCTTCCCAATGCAGGAACTTTTTATTTCCTGCCTCATGGCTAGCACCAAGATTGTGAATCCAAGTCAAGTAAAATCTTGACAGTTTCAATCTTTATTTATCATAATATTGCCTATTGGCCTGATGGTTAGATTTTTTTTTTTATGTTGAGATGTTGAAGGCTGTAGTCTTTGATCCTCTGCTACATAATCCTCAAAAGCAAATCTGACTCCTGCAAGCACTGGTCACATGGTCACAGTGTACCCACCCTTCCCATGGAAAAAGGTGTAACCGCAGTGTTGAGCAAATGACAAATACAGACCCAGAGCTGTGCCCCAGGATTCTTCCTGTCCTTCCAGAACATGTCTTTGGGTGGTGGGGTTCATGGGGAGGTTCACTGCAGCCCCCCCACGGCTCCTGTAGCACCCGTCTGCCTGCTGGAAGCATGCGAGCCCACATAGCACCTGCACGGAGCACTGACTCTCTCGTTTCCTCTTCACAGTGAAGGACGCCGGCAGAGACTTCACCTACTTGATCGTCGTGGTCTTTGGGATTGGCATTACAGGTCAGGAGAAACAGCGAGTACTGTGACCTCATGTCTGCCGCTTCCTGTTCTGTCTTCCTCGTGCTCTGACGCATCCATCAGCTTCCCTTGTGTTTTCAGGTGCCCTCTTGTACGTGGTTTTTAAAGAGCTGTTCTCTTCGTCAAGCCCTAATAAGATCTACGGGAAGGCCTTAGAGAAGTGCAGAGCACACCCTGAGGTCAGTTCTCTGGCTCCAGCTGTGGGGGCTCCCCCAGCGCAAGGTAGAGAAAAGGGGGACAGGATGGAGGGACGGCCTGGTGCTAGCAAATGCCACATGCTCGTCCATCCATCGTGGTCTGCATCCCCGGGGCGTTGCTCTGCGCTCCAGGGCCTTTGATAAAGGGCACCCAGACATCTGGACACGGTTGGTTCTGTCCTAACTGCAGGACGGGGTCCTGATGCTGTTTGGTTGTGACTTTTAAGTGCTTGGAACAGAAAGTCTTAAGATTCATACCCTGTTTCCAGGCATGATCCTAATGGCCACTGTTGACTCTGGAAGATGCTGGATGTCCATGTCCTCGAGTCCCCACA